GCTAAAAATGCCCCCAACCCATTGGTTGTCGTTGGGATGGAGATATATATTAGAATCCCACATTGCTTGAGAAAATATAAATGATCCACTTAATAAGGTGAGGGCAATCCTCCCCTAATAAACCGATTTTATTAGGTGGAATTAGTAATAAACCGGTTTTATTAGGTGGAATTAGGCCCATCATTCTTTTAACAGTCTCTGCCAATCCAATTTCTCTTCTCAAATCCCAAATCCTTTCTCTTTCTGTTTTCATATTAACAGTATCTTAGAATGGAGAGTTATGGCGGCGGAGGGTACTTTGTAGACGAGAAAGCGGTACGGGTTGAGAATATCTTCCTGGAGTTCTTGAAGACTTTCAGAGTGGCCGAGGAGGAATCTGGGCAGCACAAGCCTTACTATGGGGCGGAGGTGGAAGCAGCCGATTTGAAACTTACTTGAAGAATGCTTGCAGGAGATTTGTCCTGGAGCTAAAGCCCACGTTCATTGCTGAAGATAATACTAACAAAGACATCAATGTCGCCTTCTACAATCTGCCCTTGGTTAAGCGGTAACCGATAATTCATTATAGACCCGCAGTTTCTTCTACTATTTTCTCTCTCGATTGGTTATTGTTTGGGCAATTTTTGCAGATTGAGAGAATTGACTACGGCCGAGATTATCTGTGAGCGGAGTGGTCACTCGGACCAGTGAAGTTCGCCTGGAGCTTCTTCAGGGAACTTTCAAGTGTTTGGAATGTGGAAATGTTATTAAGAATGTCGAACAGCAATTCAAGTACACTGAGGTTCATATCATCTCCTTTTTGCTCACATCCTCTGAATATTTTTCGTCCAAATATGCAGCCAAATCCCTCTATACTGAAGCCAATAGAAAGAGAGAGAGAGAGTTAACCAAAATAATACGAATTTAACTTGTAACTTTGAAGCTATATGGCATAGCATCCTGAGGATTTTTATATAATCTGAGAGTAAAATTAATGGAATCTTTTTTTCTCTTAGGCTCTGTTCTGACTTGGATTTAAGCTAATAAGATACTGTGGAAGTTTGGGTTGCTGCACAAACATGATCAAGTTAGATAATTTACATTTCCTTTTCATGTATTCAATGCAAATTCAAAACGAACCTAAGATTTGAAGTGGACAGTTATAATTCATGCCTTGGTGCATCTGATCTTCGCGTGCAGCCTATTATCTGCATGAATGCAGCATGCCAGAACAGAACACAGTGGGCATTGTTAAGGCAAGATAGCAAATTTTCCGATTGGCAGAGTGTTCGAATGCAGGAGACATCCCAGGAAATACCTGCTGGCTCCCTTCCCAGATCACTTGATGTCATTCTACGCCATGATATTGTTGAACAGGCCAGGGCAGGTGACACGTAGCCATCATTTCATTTACAACACAACTGTCATCAGTCTGTTTAAGTTTATTATAATCTGAAATGTTCTTATTCTGTATTCTCATTCCCTTACAGGGTCGTATTCACTGGCACTGTGGTGGTGATTCCCGACATGTTAGCGTTGGCTTCCTCAGGGGAGAGAGCTGAGTGTTGTAGAGAAGCATCTCAATGCAAGAATGCCTCTGCTGGTCAAGAATGTGTCAAAGGCGCATTGGGTGTGAGAGGCCTTTCCTACCGCCTAGCCTTTATAGCCAATTCTATACAGGTTGTGATCCCTATGTTGTAACTGTGAACAATTTTCAACTTTTACCTATTTATTATGCTTTTATTCATATACGTGCTTCCTTTTCTCCTTGTAGATTTGTGATGGTAGAAAATATAATGATATCAGGAAGAGGAGGGATGCTGATGATTATGATATCCAGCAGTTCACGGTTGGTTTCTTAATGAATCATTTTTTCTTTCTCCAAGAACAACATGGTATTTTGTTTTATGGAATCAGTTATTCACGTCCATTCTGTACTTTCTCAAAATTAGGCAAAATAATTCATTCATCACTAGAAATCATCACACCACTGCTTAAACTGTGCCTTTGAGATACACAAAAAAATGAAATTTGTGCGCTTCTGAAATGTAAAAACTATGGTTGAAATTTCATAGTAATGTGGAGGTCCAAAGATTACTAAACATAGCTTTCTAGTAAAATGCTCAGAACTGTGAGCATTTCCAAAAATCAGTAAGACAACAGGAAATATTTAATAGTTGGGAGACAGCAATAAACTTATGAATGTCTTCCCATATTATAGTTTGAGTACATGTATCTCCCCTGAATAAATTGTGCCCCTGTTTTGCTACATTTGATTGTCTGGGCAGGCAGAAGAGTTGAATGATATCCAACGAATGAGGAAGACTCCTGACTTTTTCAACAAAATTGTTGATAGCATTGCCCCAACCATTTTCGGCCACCAAGATATCAAACGAGCAATTCTGCTTATGCTTTTAGGTGGAGTCCATAAATTTACCCATGAAGGAATCAATTTGAGGGGTGATANCGAGTCACTTATCTTGAAAATAATACGTGAGAAAGTACTTCAAAAAATTGCATCAAAGTCCAGGGGCAAAATGCCCATCCGGATGACCTCCAGCGGTCACTTTTTTGATCGTTCTGACATTTTCAAAAGGCTAGTTGTTTACACGATCGGATGTCGGAATGCCTTGTCCGGATGGACAAAGTCTTGTCCGGTTTGAGTGCTATAAATACCTCACTCACTCTTCATTTGCAAAAACTTTTCTTGAGCATTAAAATGAGGCTTTTATTGATCCCAACAACCTTGTTTTCAATCCTTAGAAGATCAAAGGCAATAAATTCTTGAAAAGCTTTTTCAAACGATTAAAACTTTGTGAAAATACTTACTTCAACAAAAAGCTCTTTAGCCTAAACACTTTAAGCTATATTATTTGTCATATATTGAAGTGTTTGCCTTGGTGCATCTGATCTTCGCGTGCAGCCTATTATCTGCATGAATGCAGCATGCCAGAACAGAACACAGTGGGCATTGTTAAGGCAAGATAGCAAATTTTCCGATTGGCAGAGGGTTTGAATGCAGGAGACATCCCAGGAAGTACCTGCTGGCTCCCTTCCCAGATCACTTGATGTCATTCTACGCCATGATATTGTTGAACAGGCCAGGGTATCAGTCTGTTTAAGTTTATTATAATCTGAAATGTTCTTCTTCTGTATTCTCATTCCCTTACAGGGAATTCACTGGCACTGTGGAGGTGATTCCCGACATGTTAGCATTGGCTCCCTCAGGGGAGAGAGCTGAGTGTCGTAGAGAAGCATCTCAACGCAAGAATGCCTCTGCTGGTCAAGAAGGTGTCAAAGGTCTTCGTGCATTGGGTGTGAGAGACCTTTCCTACCGCCTAGCCTTTATAGCCAATTCTATACAGGTTGTGATCCCTATGTTGTAACTGTGAACAATTTTCAACTTTTACCTATTTATTATGCTTTTACTCATATACGTGCTTCCTTTTCTCCTTGTAGATTTGTGATGGTAGAAAATATAATAATATCAGGAAGAGGAGGGATGCTGATGATGATGATATCCAGCAGTTCACAGTTGGTTTCTTAATGAATCATTTTTTCTTTCTCCAAGAACAACATGGTATTTTGTTTTATGGAATCAGTTATTCACATCCATTCTGTACTTTCTCAAAATTAGGCAAAATAATTCATTCATCACTAGAAATCATCACACTACTGCTTAAACTGTGCCTTTGAGATACACAAAAAAATGAAATTTGTGCGCTGCTGAAATGTAAAAACTATGGTTGAAATTTCATAGTAATGTGGAGGTCCAAAGATTACTAAACATAGCTTTCTAGTAAAATGCTCAAAACTGTGAGCATTTCCAAAAATCAGTAAGACAACAGGAAATATTTAATAGTTGGGAGACAGCATTAAACTTATGAATGTCGTCCCATATTATAGTTTGAGTACATGTATCTCCCCTGAATAAATTGTGCCCCTGTTTTGCTACATTTGATTGTCTGGGCAGGCAGAAGAGTTGAATGATATCCAACGAATGAGGAAGACTCCTGACTTCTTCAACAAAATTGTTGAGAGCATTGCCCCAACCATTTTTGGCCACCAAGATATCAAACGAGCAATTCTGCTTATGCTTTTAGGTGGAGTCCATAAATTTACCCACGAAGGAATCAATTTGAGGGGTGATATCAATGTCTGTATTGTGGGCGATCCCAGCTGTGCAAAGTCTCAGTTCCTCAAGTATTAACACTCTTTCATCTTGTGTCTCCTTACAATATGTTCTATTTATGTACTAATTTCTAATGCTCCATCCGTCTTTCAGGTATACATCAGGTCTAGTTCCAAGGTCTGTCTACACATCGGGGAAGTCTTCATCCGCTGCTGGGCTAACTGCAACGGTGGCCAAAGAACCGGAAACTGGTGAATTTTGTATTGAGGTATGCATTCTTCTCTCTTTCTACTTTGCCTTTTGCTGGATTAGGAACTGTTTGTTTTGAATCTTGAATGATATTCTGTGACGTTTGAGATGAAAATGTTGGAAAAAGTCATTGGCCTATTGAACGTGTTGATGCTTTATTCCTCACCAAATAAGGTGCAAGAGCTAAATGCTAATTTACCTCACCACATCAAAACTACTGAAAATATTTTATGATTTTTTCACAAGTCCAGTTCACATCATCTATGAATTGCACAGGGAAATACATGCTTAGTTCTCGTAAATATATTTTTGAGCATCGATAATTCTTGAATAATAAATTTAAGCTCCATCAAGAATATCGAATCATAATCTGATTAAAAATTTTAACATGTTCTTTATCGTTATAATTAAGTCTTTTTCGAATTCAACAATTTGATGGGGTGCCTTCTGTGCTATTAACATATACTTCTGTTGCGCCTAATATCTATCTAATTGTTGCTCTCAGGCTGGCGCATTAATGCTTGCTGACAATGGCATCTGTTGTATTGATGAATTTGACAAGATGGACATCAGAGATCAGGTAATTATAGCTTATGTAGATTTCTCTTCCTCCATCTAGAACAAGCCCCCGACCCCCACACCCTGGATGCACATTGCACCAAATAAAGAACAGGAGAAATTTTTTATAGCACTTTTATGGTGGTAGTTAGCGACCATGTATTTTTTTACACAAACTTTTAAGTTTGCCATCCACGAAGCAATGGAGCAGCAGACTATAAGCATTACAAAAGCTGGAATACAAACAACGTTGAATGCTCGAACGTCAATTTTAGCTGCTGCCAATCCCACTGGGGGACGCTATGATAAGACTAAACCATTGAAGGTGAGATATGTTTATTGATGGTATTAGAAGTGAAGTTTCAATATGGAAATGAAGTGAATTTCCCTCAACTTCTTTATTTTGATTAGGCATGCTCTTGTCTATAACAATTCTTCTATTATGTTTCTACAGTACAATGTGGCTCTTCCTCCAGCCATACTTTCAAGGTTTGATCTTGTATATGTAATGACTGATGACCCAGATGATCAAACGGATTACCACATTGCTCATCATATTGTTAGAGTTCATCAAAAGCATAAAAATGCACTTGCTCCTGCATTTACAACTGCACAATTAAAGCGTTACATGTCATATGCAAAGACTCTGAAACCGAACGTATGTTGTTTTCCATGCTTTGTCCTAAATGCTGTATTTGTACTTGTTATACTTTTTCATCCTTTGTTTGACCAAATGTGGTGTGTATGCAGCTGAGCCCAGAAGCTAGGGAATTATTGGTGGAATCTTATGTTTCTCTTCGCAGAGGAGACAAGTAGTTGCTTATCGCATGACAGTGAGACAACTAGAGGCACTAATCAGGCTTTCAGAGGCAATTGCACGGAGTCATTTAGATACTGAGGTGTTTCATTTGCTCTAGAGTATAAATATATCTAGAAAATTCATGTTTCTTGTCTAATGTGTTTAATATTGACAGGTGCAACCACGCTATGTACGTCTTGCTGTGAGATTGCTTAAGACATCAATTATCAGGTGTGTAGTGTCCTTTTAACAATACAATACCCTTGTCATCACCCATTCAAGTAAATGATGATTTGTATTATTTGATTTTAATTTCCAGTGTGGAGTCAAGTGAGATTGATCTATCAGAGTTCCAAGATGAGTGTCAGGATAGTGATGATGGCATGGCTGAGCATGGAGACAGTGTTTCTGGTCAAGGGAAAAATTCAACTAGTACAGCAACTCAGCAAGCTTCTGAGACCCAAGGTCAGGGGAATTTACTGCAATACATTTTACATGCTTTATTGAGCTTTTCAAAAGTGCAAGCAGATATCGTTATCTTATTATGTCATCCTGGTACAGAAAGTTTAGGAGACACTGGAAGCAGGCAAGGAAAGAAACTGGTAATAAGTGATGAATATTTTCAGAGGGTTACTCGAGCTCTTGTCATGCGAATCAGGCAACACGAAGAGACTGTAATTCATGAAGGTAATCCATTAGCATATTTCATTTAGCGAGAAAAGATGATGGACATTGCATTATATTTATCCAACCAGAAGAAAATAGAATCCTCCAATTTTACTCTCTTTCCAATAATATTGCACTATGAATGATGAATGGTGTGCACACGCATAAAATATTTGTAGGAACTGGCTTGGCTGGAATGAGACAGGGATTTGATACAATGGTATGTAAATCAGCAAAATGAGAAAAACAATTACAGCTCCATGGAAGAAGCAGCAGCCGAAGTCAAAAAAGTGAAAGCCATTATTGAGGTAAAATCCTAACTTGATCAGTTAAGTGGGCAATGTAGTTGCAGTTTTAATAATATAACATGAAAAGAGTTCAATAGGAACGTGACTTTTGGCTATAATGCAGAGCTTGATGAGAAGGGAAGGCCATTTGATAGTTGTGGATGATGGTAGACAAACAGCAGAGGAAGCTGAAACTGTGAGATCATCAACCAGAGATGATAGGATTTTAGCAGTAGCTCCAAATTATGTCATCGATTGATTTTTGGTGTGACCCTTTTCTTCGTTCTAACATGTTGGTAATCAATCCATTCCTTGATGACCTTTCTCTATTTGAAAGTCTGGTTTTCCATTGGAATCGGATTAGTATGTCTGCTCTCTTTGGAGTTACAGTAGACGGATGTTTTCTACAAAATTTATTTTATGAGAAAAAGGATAATCAGTTTCCTTGTCTGCTGCTTGATGGTTGGAGGGGATCATAGTTTTACATGTGTATAAGAAGTAATTCAAACCGCTGCCTTGACGTGCAATGTATCATTTTTGTTTATAATATATCTTAGAATCACTATACTTTTATTCGTGTATCTTGAATAGACAGTTCCATATAATTGAAAGCTTTCAAGCTGGTATTGTTTAGTAGCTTGGTGATGGGAGTTGAATAGCTGAGGCAATCAAATACAACTCACAACAACGGTTCATTGATTTGTCAGTTTGGTAAAATTATAACTTAATACTCAACAATATTTTTAATCCCTATTAAATAATGATTATTAATGTCTACGAAATTAAGGGAAAAAAATTTATTTCAACTATTTGTGATGATAGATTCCAATAATATTAGGTGCTCTTTGAAAGAAGTTCGTTGAAACAATTAATATGTTTCCCATCAACTGTGCCAAATTGTTGATTTCAAATTGTCATGATGAATCTCCACATGTTGCTTTAACACCTCTGTATAGCAATAGACCCACCAAATTAAACACTTTTACGAAGATTTGTTTTGACAATAATGTTAAATATACACTCCTTCCTTTACATTAATTTTGACATTGCTTTTGCTTTTTCAAAAATTTTGGGCGGAAAACTGTTGTTCTTTTCAAACTGTCCAATGATGTTTTGTTATGTGGTACAATGTAAAAAATGATGTACATGAAGCATGATTGTTGTTTTGAATATTATTACAACAAAACATTTTTGTTACGTAATGTGAGGATCTTGCCTACATTAATTTGCAAAAACAATTATTGTGCCCTATGTATGGATTTTAATTTGTAAGGAGGTAAATTGATTATTGAATAATTAAAATCAAACCGAAAATATAGGAAATGCACGAAATAGTCATTGAACTTAAAATGGAAAATAAAAACAAGTGAGCGTATTAACTATTATTCGAGAGTACGCAAAATGTTAAATCAAGCCATACTTTCATTTATATATATATATATATCAACGAAAGCATCCATTTCTCAATTCTACAAACTTTTTAAATTCTATTGTATGTTCATATGTGCACAAGCACTGTGAACATATTTTCGAACAAAATCAATAGTTCAAATATCTAATAGGTATAAGAATCCAGAGATTCAATCTAACGATCACATCAAAACAATAGAAAAAGTCAAAGAAAACCATCGCGTGTTTATCTCTCAAAACTCATCACTCTACATCACACTTAAACAATTTTAAGGGATAGAAAAATTAGTGATGTTGGAAGGCCACAAGACATTCCAAAGAATATATCTTCAATAGCAGGGACTTTGTCCACTTCTATGCTTTGTTGTGCAGATGAGTAACATGGGGAATAAGCTCCTGTAAACATTAAGAGGGAAAATAAAAATTAAACAAAAAGCATATTTCATATCTCATCCATCTGAATTGTAGAGTGCTAAGTTAAGACCATAAGGCGATGTTACCTCTGAACAGCGGACATGATCATGCCGTGAATTTGAAGTTTTCACAATAGTCTCCCACGTGTTATCATTAGCTACACCTGTTTGAGTCTGTTTCTTGGGGTGATATTGGCCGGAATGTGAAAATGGATTGGGCAAAGAAATGGAAGGCAGAGTTCGCCAAAGCCAAGACTCAGATGGTGACTTTGGTAAAGGTGGGGGTAAAGGTGACCTCAGGGACGCAGAATCAGCATCTCTCTGATCATCTCGTTTATTATTCACATCAGAGTTTGCATCAGAATGCACTTTTGAACAATCAACAGACCCGGATTCTTGATCAAAACTTTGATTTGATAGAACCATATCAGTTGATCCAGACAATTTAGGACTCCGGCTTTTCCCTTCCTCTAAAATATCCCAGGAAGTTGTGTCTATATAGGAAGATTTAATGGGACCCTTCTCTTCAGTAGGTCTACTGTCATCCGAGGACTTCAAATTCTTATCTGCTTTTGAACTATCTGTTTTAGTCACTGCATCTATATACAAAGTTTTTTCAACAGCATCACCTGGAGAACACGATACTTTTCTGTGCACGTGATTCCTTGAAACGTCTTGCAAGGCCTTGCACAATTTGCGAGATGAAGCAATCTTGTTAGCATTATGACCATGAAAGTAAGACTTGGATGCTTCATTTCGGAAGGGAGAAATGGGATGACTTTTGCGCAATTCAGGGATCGGGCCTTTTCCTCCCTCAGAAACATTCAGGGACGATATGTCTTGATCAGAAGATTTAATAGCTTCAGTTTCTTCAGTTTTTCTGCATTCTTCCATGGACTTCAAATTTTTACAAGAGAAATCAACAATTTTCTCAGCTTCTGAACAATTTGTATTAATCGGACCATCCACGTACAATGTCTTCTCAACAGCAACACCAGGAGAACCTGATCCCTGTTTATGTATGTGATTCTTAAATACATCTTGATTGGCTTTACACATTTTGCGTGATGAGGCAACCTTATTCACGCTAGGATTCTCAATTTCTTTAGGTACACCAAGAAACCCTGCACCTTCATGAAATGGAGACTTTGGTGCTTCATTTCGGTAGGGAGATATGGGACGGCTTCTGCACTGCCTTGAGGGAGACACCCCAGGTTTGAAAGAGTCACTGGAGTAAGAAAACTGATTGGAATCACTCCTTAGCTTGTTTTCAATTTCTAGCAGGTCCCGAGACAATACTCCAGAATGAAATTTTTTCTTATAATTTGCATGACACACATTCTGCATTGATTAGAAATATCAGTGATCATTTGCAATACTTACTGTAAGAATTATAGAAATGGAAATAGAAGTTTAACAGTTACCTTGTCGATAGGTCCACTATGAGCATTTCTGGTCAGTCTCCTAACATTAGCTGCTGGAGATGTTGGAGCATGGTTTTTTGATTTCATCCCCGGCAACGGATTTAGAAGGCACAAAGAATTCTTCACACAAAACCGAGGGAAAATCCCCCAGATTTTTCCTGATTTTTTAACAGGAACAGTACATTCCAGATCATCATCTTCACTTTCCACATTCTCAGAATACTGAACGTAATGTGACATGATGTTAGAACCATATTGCTCAAGTAAAGGCTTCGGTTCCCTGGAGACGACCTTTTTAACCGGTTTTGGTTGTTCAATGACTGCCTGTTGCTTCTTCACAACGTATTGAGGTGTTTCTAACACAACAGCCTTGGCTGCCGGTAAGAATCTGCTCATCATAAAATCTCTAGTTTGCTCGTCCACAGAGAACGTTCCTGATGGTTTTACTTCTGAACCCTGATAGCCACTCAGTCCACTTACACTGTAGTTCAAGGACCCAGATTCTGTTAGTGACAACTTATCAAGTGCATCAGAATATGCATCTTCTCCACTTTCTGTATCAGAATCATCTCTAGAATTTAGACTCTCATGCAATTTTTCAATCAGACTAGCATGATCATTGAATGGAAATGCTTCAATTTGCGTCCTGTTAATATTTGGATCATTCAATCTTTCCCCTGAATTGTATCTCGAAAAACCAGATACTCTCCCAGAAAGGAGCTTTGGACTTTCACCTGAATTGTATCTGATGACACCTGATACCCTTCCTGGAGGAAGCCTTGGTGTATTTGAAGGTTCCTCTGGAGGGTGAATTGGACCTTTCCCTTCTCCTTTAGGCCTTCCAGGGATTTTTTCCCAGTTAAATGGAACTGCAGCTGGTTTTGTCACCTCCCCATATTCACAATCTGATTCGCACACAGGTAGAGAATTTTGTCGATTAGGGAGTGACTTTCCTGTTGAGTTCTTGTTTACTACCTCTGAAGAGCGTGTAGGTGAGGAAAATCTCCTTGCGGATAAAAGTGGAGCGTTGAAATCTAGTTGTTTTTTCGCCATGAGTTCTCTTGTCTATTCACAAATCCGTTTGCATCCCTATGCCTCAAAGCTCAACAAACTACAAAATATTGTCGACAACATCATTTAATCATAATGTGAAAGCAGATAGCAAAGGAAAAGATTAAACAATAAAGATCCCTTGCTGTACTTCAAAAAACCTACTACCAGTCCCTGACTCATTCAGGAAAATAATTTTCTTACAACCAAAACAAAAGGACAAAATAATAAAGGCTAATTAAAATTTAGCCTTTTGGATCTTCAACAATAACCAGCACAACCATTCATCTATGCAAACTGGTAAAAGGAAATTGCATCCAATAATTGCACAAAACCTTTAATCTCAACAATAATGAAGGCCATATACGATACAATATTTACATCTCTGACATTTCCTCATCAACCAAACCGAACCCCATTAACCCCCCATAAGTACAGTAATAATATACTTGATTTCTTGATTATTGCCATTTAATTCCCAGAAATTATTTTCATCACCCAATAAAATTTTCAAAAAATCTAACAGAAAACAGAACATTAAATGCCATAATACGACCTTCGAGAACTAAGTACTGCCCCCAAAAAAGGAAGAAAGCATAAAAAACAAGAAGAACTTCAGAAGCACAAGAAAGAAACTAAAACTAAAACCAAAATCCAGATAGTATTCTTCTTACCTCGTAGAGAGAAAAAGCAATGTTGGGTTCTGGGACTGAGACTGTATGCTCCGTGAATTATGGCAATGAATGAGGAAAGAAAGAGTAAAAAGAAGTTAAAGAGAGAGAGAGGGAGATTGACAAAAAAAGGATACAATGGGAGTGCTTTTCAAAGTGATGAGTATTACTTATTAGTGAGTGAACGTGAACGCATGTGGACATAGGTTTGCGGTGGGGGCTGCGAAGAATGGTTCTGAATTTTGATTATTAAATTTTTCATGTTCATTCCTCAATTTGTCTGGGCATAGAGGGGACAAAGATCACGGATAAACCGTTGGGGGTATAACGACAGTTGAATTCAACAACCATATTTTAGCGCCCAGTTATTTCTTTTCTCTGTTAGTTAAATGTGTCAACAAAACTTGCACATTCTATTAAACTTTCTCCCTGCAATTTTCCAACCCTAATTACACCATTTCTTAGAAACGCTCCCCAATTATGAAAATTTGATGGAAATTTAAATCAAAATAGTTAAGAAGAAAATGTCACATCGATTAGGTATAAAATAATAATAATAATTAGGCCATGTTTGATTCTTATTATTATTATTTAAAAGTTCATATTTTTTTCTCAAACTCATTTTCAATCACACATTCTCTTAATTAAATAATTTTACATATGAATTCAAAAATTTTCCAATTTTTTGACAACATATTATTCAAAAAAATTACTATTCGCCTAAACCCTAGAAATTTTGATTAGAATAAATCAAAATCAACAATTAATTTTAATTACACATTTCATATTATTCATAACTTTTTAATCACACATTCTATTAAATTTTATTAAAATCTACAAAAAAACCCGACTCTAGTTTTAATCAAACAAGGGCTTAGTGTATAAGAAGTTGTGTGGCTCTTCTTAAAACGTCAATCTTTGAATGAGAATTCAGTTCACGTGGATCTCAAAAGAATATTTAGATTTTTCAAAGAAGCCATAATTGTGTAAGAACAACAAGACTATTCACTTTTATAAGTTTGGCATTCTATAAACGGAACTTAAATCTCAATACGATCGTCAAAGCTAGGTGGCTTGACACTCCGAGGGCTGAGTCGGCCATGGTTATAGGTAAGTCATTTCGGGCCATTAGTGATCAATTCTAAAAGTCAATTTGTCGACTTTAGACCTTTACGTAAAGAAAATAATTAAATGGATTTGGTCCATTCGACATATGTTGTGGAAAACGACCAAAGAAGATGTAGCAATCTATTTCCGTTAGTTACGCTCAACATATTGCCTTAACAAAAAAGTAACTGCAGAATGTTGACTTGTCGGAGGACCTTTTTTCCTTTTTATACAAATATTAAAAAAAAAAAACCTAGTAATTCAGAGTGAAGAAATGGACAATGTACATGTGAGCGTAGCCTTTTAATGACTTTTTGTCCGCCAATTTTGGACTGAATCAATTAATCAACAATATCCGCATAAAATTTTGGGCCTAGTTAGGATTGGACCATTGTTCATGCTAAACACAATTTTATTATGACCCAAAATCAACGGATAGCAAGCATATTGTCAAAACAAGCATGTTCCCCGGAGAAAAAGGTCCCTGATTTCATGGTGTTTTTTCATCAATTAACAATTTTATAATTGAAGATTTATTTATTTAAATTTTGTCTTCAACAAGTCACGTAACATGTAGGTTGGATTCATTCGTAAATAGGTGATAACAAAATTTGCACGTAGGCTCTTTACGTTAAAATATTTTCAAAATTGATGTTAATTTGGTTTGATCATAGATGACGGTGACTTGTAACTTAGACCATGTTTGATGGAAATTAAAATCAAATTTTGTTAGTAGATTTTAATAGAAATTGCTGAAATGTAAGACTTGGAAAATATGTTGTTAAAATTAATTGTTGACTTTGACTTATATCAAAATGTGAATTTTAATTCGTACCAAACAGGGCTTAATAAGTTGAAAAAAGGATGATAATCTAGGAAAACAAGAGGGTCAAGAGCATGTTAAAAAATAGCCATACGGATGAAAATCTTTCATGGGCGCGTGGCAACACATTTAGTGCCTGCCCCCCAGCGTTCACAAAGTTCGAGCTTTCTGGAATTTTTCCAACTTCTTCTAGTATTGAAGACATCCACCAACAATCTTAAAGCATTATTTAGTATTTTGGTAGGGAAATCTTATGTCTTCATACAAAGTTTCGCAATAGACTTTGTCAAGTTGAAAAAGGTAAATTGTTAATTTCGAATGTGGCAAAACAAAAGTCACTTACTTCTCACAACCTACCTTTTATGTGGTGTGTGCGATTACAACTCCGAGGCTGAAGGAGACAGATGAACCATTTGCAAAAAAGGGATGTCTATATGGAAGAATTGTGATGTCATCTCCGGATAGAGGAAGAGTTTAAAATGAACAATTTTCAAGGAGCATAGCAGTCAATCTGAGTTCAAGTGGATAAGGAATGGATGAAAGGAAAAGACGATGCAAATCAACAAAAATAACAAGAAAATGAAGCATGATCCAAAAGATGAGTGTGCCAATAAAAGTAAAGGGTCTTGTAACAATTTTGGCAAAATGCAATTTCTCAAAAGGAAATGTTGCCATTTGAAGAAATGAAAGCAAGATAACAAGGATGACTTTGTGACTTGAATTTGTCTTGGTTCTATTGTGCTTTCAAGTTGGTTTGAGTCTTTTGAATATGCATTATCAAAGATGGTTTTTGTTGGAAAAGTATTTTGTATATGTTATTTATTATTTGATTTCATATTTACTTATTTAGATGCTTGAAAATTTCTTAATACAAATACATTAGAATAAGTAACTTATAATTATATAATGGATGTCAAAAAAATATGTTCAATCCGATACTCTTAGGGACCCATCCCCGAATGGGGAGGGCATTACCCGTCTAACTGGGGGATGGGGCTAAAGTCATTGCCCCAAATCGGGAATGGGACGAGTACAGAAAACATAGCCCCCGCCTCACTACCCGCCCCATTTAATGTTAATTTCAAATTTAAGTTTTTTTTTCTTTTTATCATATTTTCAAAGAGAACATAAGTTGTTTTTAACAAATTGGTAAAAAGTTAATAATATTTACTAACTAAAGACAAAAAATACAAAGAAAAAATCAATGGGACGATATCATAATAGTTTCTTATTATTATCATGTATATTTAAAGTAACAAGGAAATCTGAAGATAAATTTTGGTCAAGTTACTTGAAATAACGCAAGGAAAATATTGGAATAAGTTTCTATCCTTACAAACCTAGTCATGTAATTAGTTTTCGTATCAAATTAATAGCATATAGTACAAAAGTTTGCATATTTAGATATAGACTTAATTCTATGATATGTAAATTTAAAATTTCTCCGTGACTTGTATAGCATAGGGTGTTCATATGATTGAACGTTGAATTGTTTAACATAAGTGTTATTATGTACTATGTGCTTAAATAATTCAACACTGCTACTTGTACAAAAAAAGTTTG